ATTACAAGGAGAGGGCCCACCTCAAAGGGCTGGTGTCCAGCCAAAATTAAACTAGGATTTTTGAGTATATTTTTTGGACTGATGAATAATTCAGACCATATAATATAGGATAGAAGGCATCATGAAGAAAGCTCAAAACAGGCTTAAGAAGTAAGGCTCTACGTCACACAACAGACATCTAGGGTGCTGGACCTAGGGTAAGAAATTTCTGCTTATTGGAATTTTATCAAGAGGTCGTGTGCAGTTAGGGCATTAGGTGCATATCGAATCTCAAATGCGCTACTTAGAGATGGCTGAAGTCTAACGTGACAGGTAACCATGAAGAAAACAAAGCCAGGACCCCGGAATTCTGACCAGGAGCTGGGAGAGAACAGCGTGAGTATGGCCAGGGCACAAGGGTCGGCGGGGAAGCTCTCTTCTGGACGTCACCACAGCGGAAAACAAAACACATGAATAATGGTAAATCTATTGCCTGGGTCAGGGAGGATTCTTCTCACCAGCCTAAGAATCAAATTAACGTGAGAGATTAATGGAGAAAAATCTAATTTAACTTGGTCTGTACAGGAATCACACGTACATAACAGTTTCAAAGACAGAAAGGCAAAACGAAGCCCTGTGCCCTCCTGAGCTAGGAATGGATAGGGGCCTGGGGCTTCAGAGGGGAGGAGGGCAATTCAGGGCCACACGCAGCGTGGGTGTCAGTAGTGCGGGTGTCAGTGACTGAGTGTTTGCCCTACCACGCAGAGGGGCAGTCAGACAAATTTTATCTCTGGTAACAACCTTTGTTTTGGGAAAGACCCTAATGTGGATGTCTCTAGGTAGTCAAAGGGCAAAAGCTTCCCTTGAGCCCACAGGATATTGATTGCCTTCAGCTCAAAATAGTCCACATTCCAAATGGCATATTTTAGGGAGGCTTGTTCTGAACCCCCTTCACTGCCAGCACAGAATCTTATTTCAGGCAGCTGTCATGTGGATGCAAGATAATTTGGTTCTTGTTTGAATGATATACTATTTTCTGTGGATTTGCTGCCAATGATTTTTTATTCTTTTCATAGATCCTTCATGCCCACCCCCCAACAATTTAAAAGTAAGTATAGAAGTGATAACTAACAAGATTCCCAAAGCCATGTCCTCAATTAATAAAAACCCAATGCACTGGTTTCTGTACAGTATTGAGAATTGTTTCATGAATCTCGTGGAGTTACACATTTTTCCACGAAATATGACTGCACCTCATTTGCTTTGGGACAACACTTTAATTTTTTAAGCAATTTTTGCTTTTAAATAAGAAACAGAAAAATCAGTGCACTAGAAGAGAGGCAAAGAAATGGATGATGAAAAACAGTTCTCTCTCCCCTTTCTCCTCTTTCTTTCCTTCTTTGTTAACAAAAATACAAGTCCTCACAATGAACCTTCAAGGTATATTATAATTATCTCTCTCTTTAACAGTGAGAAAAAAATGAAACACGAAGATACTAAGACACAAAAGTTTAGGCAGCTAATGTCCTAATTATCAGAGCCAAGATTTCATGTGACTGAGTAGTTCTAAACGCCTCCTAGCGATGTCCGCCCTGTAAGACATTTTCCTCCTTCCCCTCAAGTCTTAGAACATCAGTTCTCTATGATACTTGAATTTATGATAATGACCCTATGCCTACATTTTCATTCCTTTTTTATTTCATTCAGCTTGCAAGCAATTGGTGGTGGGGGCAAAAGTAACATTTACCCTCACATTGTTTCAGGACAAAGTAATTTCTCTCTGGAAATTGAATATGCTAAATGAGTTCTTGTTTGTGCTCAAGTACAAATGTCAGGTAGATTGAAGAGAAAAATGTGTCCTGGGTGTGCCAAGCCCTCTTGTGACCCGCCGCCCTCCGGCGGGGGACAGGTGTCCAATTGCGTCCGCAGCGGGGCTCTGCGCTGTTCCCCACGTGATGGTCGCTCTGCACCCCACCCCCACTCCCCGTCTCTAAAGCGTAATAATCCATGACCAACAGCATAGAGTATTGGTCGGAAGCTTGGATGTACACAGAGAAAGAGCACATCAGAAAAGGCAAATGAAGATAAAACGGCATTTTTTATTATTCTTGGTTTCAAAAATAACTGCCTGTGTAAATTAATAATAAAACATCACGAGGTCGTGGGTGAGCCTGGCACGCGGATGGAAGCGAGTGACAGCAGTGCCCCGAGAGCGGGAGGCGGGGCCCGGGAGGAGCGCTCTGCTCCCAGGTACTGCGTGGGGCGCGCACGGAACTGCACGCTTCCTTCCAGCACTTCCCCCCCGCCTGCGGGGCGGCCCACGCGGCTCCCGGTCTAGCTCCCTGCCTGCTGCTTTGGCCTCAGCCACCTGCAGCCTGTGCTTTGCTCATAGAAATAACAGCAATTCTCTAAACAGAACAAATAGTTCAGTACCTTTATTCATGCACATCCTCCACCTGCCAGCCTCTGTCACAAACGGCTTTCCTCTGTTTTAAAAACTACTTTCAAAGGACTCACCGTTTTAAAACAAAGCTCATACAGCCCTGCCGGGCAACATCAGCCGTTCCCTCCCCAGTCAGATGTGGCAGTGAAGGTTCCTGACCTTAGCGGAAAGGGAGAGTATTCCTAAAAATCGCTTGAGAATTCCTTACGGAAGGATGTTGGGAAATTTTTCTCAGTGAGATAAGAAATTAGAGAAAGAGAGGCAGACGTGAGGAAAGGGAGATACTTCCCTTTTGAATCAATTCCTTTTGAATTTGGAGAGAGCCTGTTAAGAGGGCCAGCACTGGGCAGTTACAGAATGCTGACAGTTGGCCAGTCATTGCACTGAGTTGATAAGAGAAATTATCTGGTGTAGATAAGAACCTCAGAGCTAGAAATAAATGCAGGACGTACAAGGATACACCCTTAGGTGTTGTCTATAAGTTCAAGAGAAAGAAAATAAGGAGGAGGCTGTCAAGGAGAGACTAATAAAAGCCAAAAATCATCTTGTCCCAGGAAGCAATGGAAAATGTTTCCAAGGTCGATTTGGTCAGTGGTGTGCATACTGGACAGAGATTTAGAGGAGCGGCCGAGAGGAAACCATCGGCATAAATGGTCCCACCTGCATGGATCCTTTTCCTTGGTGGCCCACAGTTTCCACACTCTGTAACAATTCTTATCAATCCATGTGGTTACGAGTAACACTTACTCCATCTCTCAGTTCATCCCTAAAAGTGTGACCCTGGCCGCAGTTCAGAAACAAGTTCATACACAACCGGAGTTGAGCCAGTGGGATTCCTCCTGGTACTGCTGCAGGAACGCTCAGAAATGGGGCTTCTCTGATCTCTGGGGTTTGAAAGTTGCAAAGGCGTTGTTAATTGTGAAGTCAAGAGTCACCCAAAGAGGGAACACATTTAACCCTGCTTTGCAGTTTTTCTGTTTCTTGTTTTTTAAGGAGCATATAGCTAGGGTCACTTCTAACTGTGCATATAGTTTCTAGGTGAATAGAGCTTCTGTCCAGGGCAAAGTTTTCCTGTCACTTGCAACTAAAGAAGTCCTAAGTAAAACAGATCATTGTTGCACTTCAGGAGAAGAGTTTCGGCAGAAGGCTAGAATGAAATTCACACACTTGTTAAAGAATGAGAGTAGCAAAAATGAAAGCAGGAAATGTATGGTGCTCCTCAAAGACAGGACAATAAGTAGGAAAACTGTAAGAGAAAGTCAGCAAAAAGCATGAAAAAAATGAGATGGAAGGCGCAGGAAGGAAGGGGAGATGGATGCACTACATTTATATTGTCTGAGAATGATTTTCTGGAGGCAGCAACCGCTGACACAAAGCACTGGAACCCTGTGCAGAGTGACAGTCACCTCTCTCAATTTGATGGATGGAAACAATTTCACAAGTAAATGTGAACAGAAAATAAAAAAGGCAATCCAGGAAGAGGGAAAAGATGAGAGAGATTCTTCGTAATGTCAAACTATGATAACTGGTCCATAATTTAAAGGGCGGTGTGTATGTTTTGAATCTTTAACTAATAGTAATTTTTAATGTCAGGAACCTTATTTAATATTTCATGGTTTTCATTCCAGAACTATTCCATAAGCCTGTGCTTAATATATAATTTTAACAGTTTTTAGAGACTATGATAAGAAAGACTAGAAACTATGAATGTATACACCATACTGTATCAGTATCTCTATCAAATAGTTATGTTTAAAAGAGAAGAATGAACAAAACTCCTACACTTACTGTAAGGAAGATCAAAGCTTCTGGACATGAGCTTCTCCATGAAACCTTTTCCGTTCTTATCTCATATAAAATTCTTTCTGAATTTTATTCTGAATATAGAGGAAGCTATGTAATCAGTTGCTCAAGTGCTTTCTTGACAGGCACCTAAAATAAAGAGAGCTTTGTTTTTGTTCCTATTTCTGTGTGTGTGTGTGTGTGTGTGTGTTTTCATAATATCAGCACAAAAACTGAACAGAGTAGGTACTAAGTTTTCTCTTGTACGAGTGAAAGAATGAAAAATAGTGACTGAATATGAATACTTAAGTCATGTAATCATTTCCTTCATTCCCTTGTTCTTGGTTTTTGAAAATGTCAATTTCTGTTCTTTTTTTAGGAATCACATATGCTTTTTTCAGAGTGTACTACAGCAAAACTAGACATTTTCCATCATTAAGTAATATAGAATCTCTCTATGCTAAATTCTTCCATTTATCAATTCAAATTGGCTTGCTTCTCTAATGTCTACACTTCTGTGTGTGTGTGCGTGTGCGCATGTGTGGGTATGCACACACATACCCATGCATGCGCACACGCACACACAGAGTATTTGATGTATATCAGCCATATCCACCTCTTACCACCAAAATCCTGAATTTATCTTTGGTTCCCATACTTCTATTTTGGATGAGAAAAGTTCTAGATATATATTCGCTGTAGGACTACATAAATTAGAGCACCTAAATGCGAGCTCCCAGGCCACTGGGCAGGGCAGGGCCTGGAATGGAATGTACACTGGGATGGATGCACTTACACTGTGCTTGGGATGGATGGATCCTGGATCCGGTGGCAGCGAGTCCCAGGAATCTGCTTCATCGTGAATCCTCTCACCGAGTAGTCGCTTATTGATTTGTCATTATTCTTTTCAGGAAACTTAAAGATTAAGGTTTACATATTAAAAAGCAGCTCAAGGCATATTTTAAGATAAGTCATCGTATTTCAGACAAATTTCCAATATATTTTTATTCTTAAAAAACACATAACTTCTTAATTGTAAAAACAAAAATCTTCATTTACTTTAGATTGGAAAAAGAGCTACTTGGATTATATTGCACAACATAAAGAATAATTTAAATGACATACTTTTGAAAAGTGGGACTTTCAACACATGAAAAACCATTTAAACACAAAACCAAAATGAATTAGATGTCTAATATGAGAAATATATGGCTTTGTCAAAATTGACTCAATGTTCAATGTGCACTTTCACTTTTATTTGCTTGGTGGGTGCCAGAATAACCCTGATACTAAAGTCTAACAGGGACGTGATATGAAAAAAATAAATACTGATCAATTTACTTTGTGAACAAGAACTCAAATAGCCTCAATAAAATGTTAGCAAGTTGAATCAAGCAAAATATAAAATGAGTGCTACCTCATAACCAAGTAGAGCTTTTCCTAGGAATGAGAGATTGATTCAACATTAGAAAATTAATCAATGTAATTCACCACATTAATAGAATAAAAGAGAAAAATCATATGCAGGCAGGAAAAACAGTAACCATTCAGGGAAAAAAATTCTCAGCAACTAGGAATAGCAAGAGACTTAATCAACCTAATTATTTTTTAAATGGGGACAGAAGGGATGTTCTCAATCTGATAAAATGTATTTACAAAATTCTTATGAGTGTTACCAAAGTCAGTGGTGAAATATTGAATGTTTTGCCTCTAAGATTGTTAACATGGTGAGACTGTCCACCATCAGTGCCTTTATTTACCATGTTATGGGAGGTCTTAGCCAGAACAATAAAGAAAAAGAAAAAGAAAAGTCTAAAGGAAGAAGTAAAACTGTATTTATTCATGGAGGACATGGTGTTTATATGAAAATCCCAAGGGATCTGCCAAAACAAAAATCCTACTAGAACTAACTTGTAAATTTAGCAAAGTCACATTATATGTTCAATATACAAAGAACAATTTTTATTAGCGACAAGAAATTGGAAATTATATTTGAATAATGAAATATAAAATAACATCAAAACAAAACATGTAGGAATAAATATACCAAAAATATGATGAAAGTTCTCTATACTAAAAACTACAAAAGATTTCTGATAGAAATTTTTAAATACCTAAATAAATGGAGAAATATACCATATTCATGGATTGGAAGAGTCAATATTACTCAAATACCAATCTTCCCCACATTCCTTTTAAGACTGTCCAATCCCAATTTAAATCCCAGTGGGATATTTATTGAAATTTCCAACCTAATTCAAAATTTACATGGACACCCACAGCATTTAGATAGTGAACACAATCTTGAAAAATATAAAATAAAGCTGGAGTACTTACAACACCTGATTTCAGAATTACTTTAAAACTATAGTAATCAAGACAGTGTGTCCCTGGCATAAGGATAGAAACAGCACAGAAGAACAGGACTGAGAGTCCATAAGTAGATCTGCACGTATTCAGTCACTTGATCTTCAAACAGACTGTCAGGTTAATACAATGGGGCAAAGTTGGTTTTTTTCCTTTTCATTCAATTTGTTTTGTTTTCAGCAAGTGGTGCTAGAATAATTTGGTACATCTCTGAAAAAACATTAGCCTCAACCTTAGTTTAAAACACCAAATATTGTCAGACACAACATTCATTTTAGGATTCTGAAGTGGAGAGAAACTTTCTCCAAATTTTGAGAGAAAAAATTTGGGATTGTAATACATCATATTGGAATTTTTCAGGACAGATGAACTAGTAAGAAATGAAATTTTGTGCTATTCAAGAAAGATAAAAATTAAGGAAATGAAAATATGAAAGTGTTAGAAAGAAAAGCAGTTAGTACTTTGTAGCCAAAAATTTAAATAATTTTGGCTTATATTCCTAATATTGGAATGTTAGGCCACATTTCCACAGCTCCTAGAATAAAAATCAATTAAAATTCATCCTATGTCATATATATTTAGTCTAAACTATGCTATTTAGCCAAATGTTTTAATCTGTTTACTCTGCTACAAATAAAAGGAAGACCTTTGGGAAAAATCTCTCACCCATTACCTGCTAAGTAGATGGTCAAGAAATTCTCAATAATCCAAAACATTTCAAGTTTAGAAGCTATTCTCAGTCAAGAGCCTTGCCTCAGGAGTCAACCAATCTGCAAAGTATTCCAACGATGGAACAGATGAGCCATTTCTTTTTTTTTCCTGCTTAGCTACAGGCAAAATCTAAAATTATAAAAATGATCATCGCCCAATCCTTAAGAGCCTAGGATGCTGGCTATCACAGTAAAACAAAACAACAAACACGCTCCTTCCAATTCTTCAGATTTCTTATTCTCTAACACTTGAATTACCTCCTCCCAAATAAAAGCTTAAAATACATTCATGAGCTAATGGCATTATGTTAGGGTTATATAGCCTTACACATGAATTTAGCCCTTCCTTTATGTGAGGAGATACATACTCTAAGGCAGGTATCTGGATAGTGATCTCAAATGTTCCCATTTCATCATCAGTGGAGGTTTTTCTTAATTTCTGCATTGTTATTGAAGTGCTTAGAACATTTACATTCAACGATATTAGCAACATGGCTAGGCTTACATCTACCATCTTATTATTTGTTTTCCATTTGTCACATCTGGTTGTTGTTTTTATTTTCCCTTGTCCTGCCTCCTTTGGGACTGATTAAATTTTTATGATTATGCTGTGTTTCCATTATTGGGTTTTTAGCTATTTTCATTCATTTATATTTTGGCTTAGTGGTGGTTTTAGTGTTTGCAATAGACATTTTTTCATTCATCACAGTCTACTCTCATGCAATATTATACATTTATATTGAAAGAGTCCTACACTTTCACTCCCCAGCTATTGCTCAGTCCCAATGATGTCATATACTTTGCTTCTGCATATGCTATAAACATCTAATTTTTAAATTATTTTTGCTGTTCAACTGACTTTTAAAGAGTCTGATGATATTAGACACATTGGCTTTGTATTTATCCACATAGCCGCCATTTCTGGAACCATTCATTCCTTTGCGCTGATCCACATTTCACACTGGTATCTGGTATTATCTTACTTCTGCCATCAGAACCTCCTTTAGTATTTCTCACAATGCAGGCCTGCTGGCCATGAAAGCTCCCAGATTTTTTTTATTTGAAAAAACAGTCTTTCACCTTCCTTTCTGAAAGAAAGTTTTATAGGTATAGAATTCTAGACTGACAGTTATTTTCTTCCAGTATATTATGGAATGTGCATAGCCACCATTTCTGACACTTTTTGTTTCCTCTCCTTTAGAGACCAGGACTCAGTGAAAGACCCTCTACAGGTCTGAGGGACTTTGAGTCCTTGAATTCTGATCTCTGCCTCCTGAGCTCATTGACACCACTGGGCTCTGCTGGATTCCTCTCCATGTGTTGAGGCTTGAGCAGAAAGTTGTGCAATCAGACACCTTACCCTGTTTCTCTTCTTTCAGTTTTTCCTATTTTTCAATAACTGAAAACAGTTATTTCATATATTTTATCTACTTTTATATAGCTATTTAATGCAAGGGAGTGGACCTGGCTCCTGTTATTCCATTAGATGAGAAGTAGAAGTTCTAGATTACTAATTATGATTTCAACTCATTTTATTTCTATTTTCTTGTCCTTTAGCATCTCACTTTAATCACTGTAGTTTTATTTTCAGAATTTATCATTTTTCTTTTTCAAAATAACCCATTTCCATAATGCATAGATCTTCTTTTTAGGATTAAAGTAATTCATTTGTTTAGTCTATCTTTTCAAATTCTTGGGAGCTAAATTGGCTTGTTTTTTTTTTATTTTTGCTTATCTTAGCTTGTTTCCTTATCCTGTAATTTTGATTATGAGGTCATTTTTACAATCTCTTTTTTCCATGAGCACCTCTGTGCCCTGAATTAAAAATATGCTGATCCAAAGAAGATTGTTTTTTACTTCATTCAGGAGTCCTAGTGTTAAGGAGAGAGTCCTGGACCATGTGAACAACTTAAATGTTTTTATTCAAACTTGATCTTTTCTACTGCTGAGTTTGGTGCATCTTTTTCAAATCTTTGCTGTGTATTTTAGGATTTCAGTTTAGACTGTTTCTGAGTGCTTTATTTACTTGCTGCATCTTTTCTCCAGTGAATTGCAGGTTGAGGTGGGTTACAAAAGATCGGGTGCACCAGGAACAGGTCTTCTGAGCATGACGTCTCTCCATTGTTCTTTGTTATTCCCAGTCCACAGGTTAATACCTCCAGGCTCTCCTAAGAACCTATACTTGATTCTCATTAGGTAGCAGGTGGTGCCGTCACTTGATGTCCCGTTTTTAGCTCCTCCATCACCGGCTTTATCACTTATTGCACAGCTCCGCCTTACCCATTCTTACTGTATGCTCCAGCTTTGGAATGCTCCTAAACTTTCTCCTTTATAAGCAACTCATCGATGAGCACATTTTGAGCTATGGATTCTGCCATTCATTTCATCCTTCCATCTGAGGTTTTAGTAGTACTTCAAGGACAACACTGTTTGTTTTCCTGGACATGTTTATGTGGCTATGTGTCTAATACACATATAAAAAACATATCATACAAACATTCATAAACATATAGTGTGTGAATATATCTAGGTTTATGTCTATCTATATCTTGATCCAGTCTCCCAATGGTAATTTTCAGTCAAAAACCATCCAAATGACTTTGGTGACTTTAGAGCAGTGAGACTTTCTGAAGTGGAAGATGTGTCCCAGTATTCACAATATTTAACTATGCCCTTATATCTGGGGCATGATAGATTATTGATTGATTTTATATTTGTTATTTTTCCCTCTAACTGTCCCTTGTCCTGTAAGAAGCTAGCTGTGCTCTATTACCTAAGGTATCATTTTTACTACAGGGCTGAAAACAGAAGCTTCCTGAAAACAATGCATTTTCTTATCTTTGGTGAGAGTCTGTACCAGTTGTATGATTAGGCTAACAATTTTAGTTAAGAGGAAAAAAAGACAATCCCTTTTAAATCAGAGAGGTGGGAGACATGGGAGAGACTAGTCCTTTCTCTTAGTCTGGGACTGGGAGAGACGATATATGGGTTCTGTGGCATCCCAAGGAAAACACCACCTCAGAAAGCACAGCACCTCTATAGCATGAAGGACAAGCCCTCATATTATGAGTTAGTCCAGACTTTGACCAGCAAAGATCTCAGGGTCCTAGCAAACTTCTTAACCAACTAAGAACAAATGAGAGGAATAGGCTAAGCCCCTGTCTTACTGCTTCTGTTTGTTTTTATGTTCTGGCTTAGATGTGCAGCAGACATAACCTGGTGATTAAGAAATACTCCAGAGACATGGAAGACGATAGTATGTTTGTATCATTACAATTAGCATCTAAGATAATGCTTTTTTCTCTTAAGTTTCTTAGTTTATTAAAAAAAAGACTTCATATTACTTCCCATAAGGACTATTTTAATGTATTATGAACCACATTTGAATTTTATGTTATGGTAGGCTAATGTTGGATATAAACATCTTAGACTTAAGAGTTTTGGCAACGAAAAATCGAATTAAAGCCAAATGGTATATTCATGAGCATTATGGTTGAAGAGACCTACAAATGGGCAGGAAAAAATTAAATTAGGCAAATACCTCTATTAGAAAGGCATGTATTTCTTATAATAGAAATTTGAAGTTCATATCAACAGGGGCTCAGGACCTAAATAAATAAATAAACCAGGATATGCTAAGTCTCTTGGGAGATAATGACTGTCTTTGATGGTAGTAAATAAAAACACTTTTGAGTAAAATTTATTCAGTAACCCAAAATAGGTAGGACATAGATAGGTCAGTATTTCATTTTCCTTTAAATGAAGTAGGATCATATTCCTGGTTATAGTAAGGAGCAGGAAAAAAATTCCACTTTTCTGTAATAATCTGATATTTCTAGAAAAAATCTTACCCATTACAAGTGTGTGACCTGTTCATTTATCATCACAAGTTCACCTTTAAGCCAGTAAGGGGGAAAAAAGCAAAACCAAAAACAAGAAACACACATACAAACAGAAAACAATTTTATAATTTTGTGGGATAGAAGGTATCTCAATGCCTCAGTAAGCAAGAAAAAAAATAGCTATGAATGAAAAAACAGGCAATTTTAAAGAAATTACTATAGATTTTGGTTAGAATCAAATGCACTGAGGTGAACAGAGACTCCTAAGTGTCATCCCGCATTGCAGGCAGTGACAACGTGGTCACAGCAGGCAGTCAATCCCTTTTGCAAGAATTCTACAACTGTTGCATGAAACTTTTAATTTCTGTAGCAATGCATAGTTTTAGATTATCTAGATTAGATAACTGTACTATTTCAGAATAGTTCCTTCAAGTCAGACTTCCTAAATCAATTCCTCTTCATGACATATGTCTTAAATCACAGGTAAGGTTGTCACCTAGCTTAGATTATCTAGATTAGATAACTGTACTATTTCAGAATAGTTCCTTCAAGTCAGACTTCCTAAATCAATTCCTCTTCATGACATATGTCTTAAATCACAGGTAAGGTTGTCACCTAGCAATTTGGGTCTTTAAGATTTCTAATCTCTGCATTAGAACTTGAGATGACATACAAGTATTCATGTGGTTCTTTTGGCTGATGGAGTTGCAACCACAAACGCTTTCCCGAAATCACATCATTCACACCACGGATCGTAAGCTCCAGGGGCTGCCAGAAGGCCAGAGCACATGAAGTGTGACTAGGACAACAGTCGCCAAGCCCTTGTATCTGCCCCAAATATAACACTCACTCGGCTGCACTGTACAGTCCAAACCTAAAACTCCCCAAGGCTGCTCGCCATTAGCTCGCCTCCTCTGCTTTCCACACCACTACCACACGAGCTGAAGGAAGGTTAATATCAATGAGAAATCCTTCATCTCTAAGACAAATCAATAAGCTGGTTTCTAATGCATAATATGTTACATTTGCCTATTACCTCCTAAAATCCAGAGTTTGTTTCTGTTTACAGTCATTAAATCTGCTTCAGTACTTTTAACATTTCGGTAAATAAGGTTTTTTTGTTATATTTGCCAAATTCTGCTAAATGCCTTACCAAAGTTTAAAAAAAGTAAATTATTGAGTGTAAATAAATCCATTTATCATTTCTTACTTGTACCAGGAAAAATGAAATTCTAAAGGTTCTATAAAATTATAAGTCTGAAGAGACAAACTATGGGTAGGTAAGCTAGACTGAGGTGGAAAAAATTCTAAACATTAACGAATAGTACTTCTCAATGTCTTTTGGGAACACAATGTTTTCCCCTTGTCATTGTGATATGATATATTATATTAATATATTTTCTGAAGAGACAGTGGAATGTCAGTACTGAATCACACTGCCTGGGGTTGAATCCTGTCTTCACTACTTTTTATACATATGATAAAAACTGATAAAAATATGTTTCTTCGTCAAGATTTTGCCACCTTTTTACACGTGACCAGAAACAAAACTATAAATAACAGCCTGCAAATACTGTTTAAAAATATTTATGTAATTAAAAATACAGACTATACGCATGTGTTCTAATCTCTCCATTGCTGTTCAGCTAGCTGACACCAGGTAAGATACAATCAGTAGTTCTCTCCTCAAAGATCTTAGTCATCCAGCCAATCCCATGGTCTCAGGTATTGATGCTGTAATTGTTGATCCCCAAATCTTTCAGCCAACATTTGCCTGTATCTCTCTTTTTCTATGGCAAGACTTACAGTTTTAAAAGTGAAGAACACCATGAGTGTCATGAGGATATGGAGTCTTTCCCACAGTTGGAATCAGCACTCAAGAACAGTCCGCTAAAAATCATGGCAAAGGTGGAGCTGATCTTCAGCGCTCCCACTGCAGACGCTTCCCTATTTCTCTCTTAGATGTCTCGCCTTCAGTCTAAAGACTAGATCTGCCCACGATGCTACTGCCTGTTTCCGATTTTTCTTATTCATTGCAATATTGCTTAAAAAGGGCATTGCACACATTGTGAGTAGGATGCTTATTTTCCAAACACAGATGCTTAGATGTGTCATGAAATTTGCAGGACATGCAGTCTTCTCCTCTCACAATACAAGAACTTCGGACTCATATCCTAGACGGTTGGCACCTACCTTACTCAGCATCCCCAGCGTTTAGCATTTTAGTGCCTGCCACATAGAAAGGATTCGAAGTTTGTTATTAAGCTGGATAAATGTGGCGGAGGATCGACAACCTCGTTCGCTGGTTTATCCTATTAGACCCCCCAACACACTATTAAAGTCATGGACGGCTCCTCTTGACAGCAAGTTTCTCAAAATAAGGATCTTGTGTTTCTCCCCAGCTTGAAAACTATCTGTTGAAATTAAGTGGTCAGCTGTCAGTCTGTAAAGTGGGAAGGAAAAAAATATGAGAAATGTGACACAAAAAGGACTGGGTTGCTGGAAAGGCAGACGAGCCCTGATCCAGGGGCGGGTGCGGATCCAGCCTCTCAGCGGCGCGCGCAGGTTGCCTAAGCAACAGCGAGCGCGCGGCCCCGCCCGCCAGCCGCCCCTCGCGCGCCGCTCCTAGTCGCTTACTTCCGCCTCGACCCTCCAGCAGGGTCCTAGGCCCTACCCTCAAGGCCCTCGCTGGTATCGCCTGAGTGAAAATATGGGAGCAAATACCGCGTTTAGAAAAAAGTCTGTTTCCAGACAACCCGTGCTTTCGTTTCAGAGGAACACTGGGAAAATCAGGAGTTACTGGTAACCCGGAGGCTCCTCCGAGCCCGAAAACTCGGGCCAAGTTTCAGGCAGTGCCCCGGACGGCAGCCATGTGAGGTCCCCGGGCTGCGGAGACAGACGTGGCCCTGGGCGAGGCGGGCGGCGCGGCGCCGGGGAGGAAGCTGAGGCGCGGCGGGTCGGCAGCGCTGGGTCCGGGCCGGCCTCACCATGTAAGTTTGCCGGGCGCCGCGGGCCTCCGTGGCGGCACACGGCCCTGACGCCCTCCCTCTCTCCCTCAGGTCCAAGGTTTCCTTCAAGATCACGCTGACGTCGGACCCGCGGCTGCCGTACAAAGTGTGAGTAGCGGGGCGCGCCGCCTGCGGGCTGTGGGGGGAGGGGGTTCCGCGGCCTCGGGGCGTCCCTCCGGGTCCCCGCCGTCCCGCCCGGTCTCCGTCCGGTTTGCCGACAGTGCTCAGCGGACCGTTTCCCACCCGCAGCCGTTGGACGGCGGCGTAGCAGGGCCCCGGCCCCACGCTCCTCCGCACCGCCCGGAGGTTTCATTCCTGCCGCCGGAAGCCACGGGAAAGAGGCCAAGAGCAGTGCTTCCAAGGGCCTCCGAACAATACCTGGCGGCTGCCTCGCTGAGCCCAGCCAGCCGCCTCGGGCTCGGGCAGAGCCCCCCGGCCCCGGCATCAGCTCCGCTCTGGGTCAGCCCTACCTTCACCTTGTCCCCCGCAGTCACGTGTGCAGCCCCGAACCTTAAGGTCACCGGCAGTTGCCCCACCGCTGAAGTGCCATTTCAGACACCCTCTAATGAGCTCGTTCTCTTCTTAAACTGCTTTATTCTAATATCTCTTATGTCACAGGGTGTCTTTGCTCTTTAACCTGCCACGACCCGCCCCCCCCGTGCCTTGCCCCGACTGGGCTGCAGCCCACGGTGCCCTCGCTGTGCTGATGCCCTCTGCCCAGTGTATTTCCCTCGGTGAAACACCGGCTTGGAACTCAGCACTGTATTCTCTGTGCATTCTGCATACACAGTTGCGCCGATGGGTTTTACCCGAAATTCGTGACGGTGCTAAGTATCACTCAACGCTGCTACGTTTCCCAAGTTTGCTAATTTTCCTTATTTTTTTTAAAGATTTCTCTTCACACCGTCACACTGCTTTCCCCATTTTTCTCGGTCGGCCAGAGTAAAATTCTCTCGTCTTTCCATCACCGCATCCGTAAACCTACCCCTAGATCTGTCAGGCCGTGATTTCTGCCTCCCATCCTGATAACAGTGGAAAGCGGGACTTCTATGAAAAGCCACTTGTCCCGCTTCCACTCTGAATCTCATCTCAAGATTAGAGTAACCAGAGTCCAGAAAGACTTTCTCCTCCTCATCTTTGATGCTCCGTTTATGCTGATTGGTTGTCAATGTGTAAGTGTGCTCTGCAAGCAGAGATGGAGAAGCAGGGCTGGAGGACAGCCACAGTCTCTGTAAGCATGCCTGGAACATTGCATCAGCTCAGTTAACAGGCATCCCGTGGTGTATGTGTGTGTCGGTTTGTGTGTGTATCTATGTACGGGTATGTATGTGAATAAAACGTGTGTCACGTGTTTGTCAAGGTAGTTGACAACGCTGTCTTCGTTATTCAAAGTTAAATGGTAACTGATACCTGCGTACTAGTAAAAACATTTCTTAAGATTTGTGGGAGAACACGCTTTAACTTTTTAATGTCACTTTTCACTTGTCAAGCAGGTAAACATACACTTTGATAGAGAAATGTTCTTTTGAGTTTCCAACATTATTAAAAAGTTGAATTCTAGAAAGGACGTTTCAGTTTAAATTTATTCTGGGAGATGTCAGGATTTTTGTTTGTTGATAGGTTCACTGTTGGTATTGCTGTGAGGTTATAGAAATGTTGAGATCAAACATTCTCTTTTAAATACAAGATGAATTAAAAACTCCTTGGCTCTTTCACTCTGATTACATCCTTTCTAGTCTTCCTACTTCCCTCTTCTCTCCCCTCCCTCTTACCACCATCAGTTCATCAAAGCTGCAGCTACCCTCCTGCCCGCTTGACAGCTAAGCCCTTTTAACTCCTTTTACCAGGTCCTTTTCTGTGCGAGTGCAGGCTCCTGACCACCGCTCTGACAAGCAGCACCCGTTAACGACCAGCATTCCACCTCCAGGAGGGTTTCTGTAATTGTCCAGGAAGTTCATCTCATCCTTTAGTTTCCTAAAGAAACTCAGCTCTTATTCTTTGTAAGAGCGCTTGTTATGTTTAAGTGTCAAATGTACAAAATGCCGTAGCTGGCAAACAGAACAAATTCAAATCTAGAGAAAATACATGGCCTTTTTGATTTGAAAGTTAATGTGCAGTCATATAAACTTCAGACTCTAAAGACAGCTTTTCCAGGTCTGCACGTGGAAATAAGGGACAAAAGAGCTTTAAGGTTAAAAAAAATCAGCTTTTAAAAATTTTCTTTTTAATTCTTGTAGACTCAGTGTTCCTGAAAGCACACCTTTTACAGCGGTCCTGAAGTTTGCAGCAGAAGAAGTAAGTATAGAAATGGGAGCAATGGGTATGGAATGTAGTTTGGCTGGGTATCTCAGAATCTTCAAACTTTGCATGCCCTTTGACCCACCACTTCCAAGTGGGCTCATTACTTGGTTTATGCTATCAAAAAGGTAAGCTTACTTACAGACACAAGTGGGGTGAGAGTTGAGGCCTGCTTACATATGTAAGAAAAATGACTGAAACAAAACGACACATCTATTTAGTGCAGTGATTTAAAATTATAAGGAAAATTTTTATTGAAACTGAAAATGCTCAATAATGTGGAAAATTTTTTAAACATCAACATATCACAGTATATATATTTATTTTTCAAATCTTCTGTATGAATATGTGGACTGCCAGTAAAATATATTGTTTTTAAAAGTGTCCAGTTTTGTAAAACATTTTTGAGTTTTCTGTTTTTAAGAAAATTTTCCACCCAGAATTACCAGAAGCATCCACAGAGCAAACGCTTGATTATGACACTTGGGAGAGCACCATAGTGTGACTTGGGTCACAGAGCTCCTGTTTAATTGTGTTAAAATGATCTGAGTGACACGAGCAAGGCTCTCAAATTCTCTGTCCTCAAATTTTCTTAACCTATAAAATTGGAGTATTTAATGTTTGTTCTTCCTATCTGAAGTAGCTTGAGTAAAAATATAATAGCATTTACTAAACTTTCATGAAGCTAAAAAAAAGTTCTCTACAGGTACAGAGTAACCCAAATCCAAATGTTTTGGTTCCGAATCTTCAGCAAAGTTTATAGTCACAGAAAAATAATTTTAGTAACTAAGAACTTATGTGATCAGTGGAAAATCCCCCAACTGTCAGCGCTCTCAGCTCCTCAAAGTGTTGTCGGGACATTCACATCGTTTCTCTGTCATTAAGAATTAAATTGAAAATTGTCGTACTTGTTTTACAGTCACTTTTAATCTGTTCTTCATGTAGAAAGTAAAAAGAGACGGGAAGCAGATCTGAGTACAGCACCATTACTTGAGGCTGCACAGAGCCCTTGGAGCAGGTGTTCCTAGTCTGGGGCAGAGGAGACCCACAAGTTCAGTTTAAGAAGTAGATCCATTCATACTCTGATTAATAACTGTTACTGTTTTATAGTTATAATGTATCCTTTAAAAATTAAAGTCATTGTGATGTTGTGATCTTGGTCTTCTAATGAAAATAAAGGAAAATCATGACATACATGCAATAGGAAACAGACTTCACACAATATATTTAAAGTTTTAAAGTGGCTTTTAACTTTTATGAATCATGATTGGATGTCACATATTTAGAAAGGTTGTGACTTTCAGGCAACAGTGAGAACCTCTCACACGGTGACATTGGAAAAGCATTTCCCACAGTACTTTTCCCTGATCCACTAAAACCACCAGGAAAAAAAAAAATTCCTTGAAAAACTGGCATCAGTGGCAAAAAACTGGGAAATACTTCATTCACCATTTCCTTCTGGGAGTTAAGTATGTTAGCAGATTTAAAGATTTTGAAAAGAAGACTAGTTTCTCTTAGTGTTTTCCCAACTTATTTGATCACAAATTCAACTATACTGTCTATAAAGGCAGTCTGTAGTGTATGAGTGCCTAATAAATGTTGGGTAGGTGAATGAACTATGAGGACATGAATACTTGACAGCTGCTGGTCTCTGGGGCACGAAGAGAAGAATTCTACTTTTTAGCTACCAGTAAGTTTCATACGTTTCATTGATTCGGAAAACACAGTTTTTACGTTTCTGAACGCAGATCATTGGAGTGCTGCCTGCCTCTCACTGCTGGCCATGTGGCAGTCAGCGTTGTGTCGTTGATGTCAACTGAACTTTAGTGTTACTTCTAGTGGCATGATTAGACTCTCGTAATCCTGTGAGGTTTGTCAGCCGTGCATTATAGGAGAATATAAGGAATGTGAACATTGGTTGGCTTCCCATTAAGGATAAGAGAGCATTTGTTTCAGCTTAAGTCTTGTCTACAAAATTTAGGAATGTTCTGAACTATTGTTTTCCTTTGACTTTTGCCTTTGCCAGAAATGATACGTGGTGAAAGTTTGAAGGAGTAAACATTGATCTGATCTTAGATTTATTCCCAAAGTTCTTCTGTTCTTTGTAGTGCATAAAATAAGGTGCATTTTACAATACATAGTGTTCTAGATACAGTGAAATGCAATATTTAGGAAACAGTGTTCTTTAAAAATAAAGCAGATTATGGTTCTCTCTGATGGCGTTGCTCACCCTCACATTTAGAATTGCAGAATGTATTGCATATACTCCATGCTTGCCAACCATCCTTTGTAGAGTTTGCTTATATAAAATTTTTTTCTCTTTTAGTTTAAAGTCCCTGCAGCAACAAGTGCAATTATTACCAATGGTAAGAATTCATTTTAAACCTATTACCTCAGAGCTAAAGAAATTGATTTTTTGAAAATTAATTAAAATTGACTTTAATAGAAAAACCCTCAAAATTTATGTCAGTGTAAATGCTACACATAATTGTGATCACTAAGTCAAAGTTATTGTCCATAATTAGCTCTTTTCAGTTGCTCTACTAGCTTACAGTATTGAATACCACTTTATAATATCTTGTGTTTTTTTGCTTTATGCCAAATTGTTACTGAAAATAATAATTTTGTTCAACAAGGTTTTTTGGCTTTTGATTCTGTTTTCAGTAAGTGGTAAATGGCATTTAGAAAATAGGAAGTTAAGCAAGAATGTACTGTGTTATTGCTCTCCAGATAGAGAACTATTTCTTAGAGACTTGAAATAAGGAGGATTTTATTCAATGAGATACGTAATTTAAATTGACTGTCTTAGAATACTACCTCTAATTAAGTGTGCTGGAACAATCCCTGTGAGAAAATGCTGAGATCGGATGGAGAGTAAAGACCGCACGGAGGGCTTCACTGTCTGTCTGGAATACGAAGTGCTAGTTGTGGGTGCCGACGGGGTGGCTCGTGTGCAGTGAGTGTGGGCTAAGAGAAGATGGGCTTAACGTGCAGGTGATGTGACAGACTTTGTCCTTCTAAATCATTCTGCATTCTGTCACACTCAAGTGCTTCTCTCTTGGAAGAAAGCTTGCCTACTTTCTGGAAAGTTTGAGCTTCATGATTGAATAGCTGTTAGCAAAGTGTTTGGGTAAACTTTTATCAAGTGTCACTGGAACTTTAAAGATTTTGTTGGCTCGACCTCAAGATTTTACACCTTGGAGTATATGTGCGTGAATGCTCAGTGACATCGCTAAGGTGCTTTTGGCTTTATTTTTCACTGCGTGACATAACAGAATAAAAAGCTCTGTAAAATTTATCAGAATCAATTTTATTGTTGTTAACAACCATTTGATCAATAAATATGAGAGATGCCCTCTCAAAAAAAAAAAAAAATTTATCAGAATCATTGCATTGACAAGTGGTCGTGTCCAGTGCAGCATGTGTAAATGAGTAATAGTAACATTCCAACAGCTCATTTACCTGGAAGATTGTCTTTTGTGTTCTTGAACTTTAAATTGTCAGCGGCAAATCTCTGGTTATTATTAAACCATTTTTACTTTAGAAATAACTTAAATGATTTTTCCACTTCTTTCCTAGATGGAATAGGAATAAATCCTGCACAGACTGCTGGTGAGTACAGATCAGAGACTCCTGGAGGCCTGGGTGGGGCATTTTAAGGCGGCTGATAACAGTATTGCCTTCATTCTAATTAGACTGGATAGGATTTGACCAGGATAATAGTTTTTTAGGGATTATACAACAGTCTTTACCTGTGTGTCTGAGTAATTGTTTCATTACATTTATCAGTTATGTATGCTTTTGGCTACAAGAAAGAAAACCTGACTAATAAGCATTAAAGGTATTGAATTAATATATGTAACAAAAAATCTGAAGGCATGATTGTACACCTAAGGGAATGATGATTTTGACCTACTTCATAAGGGAGTTGTGAGGTGGTACCTGTAGAGTGCTTAAGAGTTTGTGTTGTCCATAGTAGGCATTCAAGAAGTGCCACCGGTTACCATTACTTTAAAGAGGTACAGCCATTTAGATTTCAGGGGACTTCATTCACACGCAGAGCTTCAGGCTTGACATTATACGATGCTATATATGATGGCCTAAGAAGCAGGTAGGGTAAAAAGAAACTTTTTAACAGGTCATTTTAAATATTTTTAGATGTATCCTTTTTGTCTTATAACCTAATTATAATGCTTTGAAATTAAGCATGTTTTCACATAGAGTAACCTCGGTCTTGAGCAGTAGTTATGTTTATTATGAAGTACCTCTGTATTACAACAAAATTACATTGTCCTCATAGGATTGAAATTCAATCAGAGAGAAAATAAAGAAGGATTTATAATTAAATTATTGTCACTTTAATCAGCAGTTTAATGTACATACCATTTTATTAAAAGTTAATCATTGAAAATCATGAGGTATTTATTGCATAGATGCCTTTAAACGTGGGTTTTAAATACAGGTTTTGTTTTTTCTTATTCTAGAAATGTTCATGGTTTATGTTAATTTGAATCCCTGCTTCCTCTAACATGTTGCCTGTAACATGATCCTCACAAGTTGAATTTGTGCTTTTCATGGGCATGAAGAGAAACTCAGTAGGCAATTGAGTTTTTGAAAATAGGTCAGGTTGGGTTTCTAAATATCAGTCACTTGTGGTAATTTAAACTTAACTATTTTTTTCTGTCCTTAGGCACTTTATTGTATATTAAAGCAAGTATTGGTTAACTTAATTTACACCGTTACTTGCAGAGTGTTTTGTTAGCATTGCGGTTAGTGTACTTAAACTGTTCAGTGGCTTATTTAACGGGTTGCAAAGATGTGAGAGGAACAGGAACCCACCGTAAAAGGCATATAATTGGGTTCTGATGATGATTGAGCTTCTGTACCTACTTTTCTAGTTTGTTGAGTATGATCATTGTTGGGATGTTAAGATAACTTGTTGCTTTTTTAAATACCTAACTTTATGTTTTGTTTGTTTGTGCAGGAAATGTTTTCCTAAAGCACGGTTCAGAACTGCGAATTATTCCTAGAGATCGTGTTGGAAGTTGTTAATATCTGCTATATGGAACATAGTATTACCTTTCAAAATAAATATTGGTATTGTTGGAATTTGCAGTCAGGCATTTAAAGTGCTGTGAAAACCCCAGTGGTTGATGAAATAATGAAAGGCAACTCTGCCCCTTCTGTGCTCACACTCTTCATGTGCGCAGGCTTGGGTGTTGAGGGTGCCGTCTCCACAGGGTCATAGCCTTTCATCGCTGCCTCTCAGCACAGGCCTGTCGTTCATTTGGGGTCAGTGGGTTATCTGACTCTGTTTTGTATCTAGAAGATGCTTCTGATGATTCTTTCTGAGAACATTTGGAAAAATTAAAAAATAATTTACTCTATCTTCCTATTCATCTTTTAATTATAATTTTTAAAGGTTTATGGAATATACATAGCCGTTTGCTTGATAACATCCGACCTACGTACTCGGGAAAGTTGAATTCTTAATTATTGAATCAATGAATACTTAATATCTTAACTTTTTATCATTTAGCGTTTTCTTAAGTTTCAAATTTCATGTGTTCACCCAAACATTAATATCAAAGCCAGAAATTGAATTTCTTGATCTAGCCCTTATGTCTAAAACTGATATCCAACACCGAAGAATTTTAACTGTGATCTTGCAGAATTCAGTGCTTGTAATGGTGGGAATTGAAAATAAAAGTTGCAGCATCTTTTGTTGAATTATGCTTTCCTTTATCAGTCTCTTTTAATACAACCTTTAAAACAGGAGTACTCAAGAAACCATTGTCTTTCTGAGAATGCTTCTAAATAGCATTCATGCAGGGTGTAATGTAAAGGAGATCTGAAGTTCAAAACAAAGCTGAAGGAAATGCTAATTGGAAATGCTGATTAATTATACTTACTGAAGACCCAACATTTAAGGAGGTGTGAAAGTGAGTCGCTCGAGTGAGAAGCCTGGAAATGAAAGCCCAGGTGACTAGGCTTCTACTGGGGAGGAAAGAAAAGAACAGCGAAGGGGAACCGAAAGCTGAAGCAGTCTCTCAGGAAAAGCCGACAGGGCAAGCGCTCTGTGGAGGGAGTGTTGGAAAGACCAGTAACTTGACATCCTAAGGAGCAGAAGGCACTCAGAGAGGTGTGGGCTTTGTGGACACGAGGCTCCCAAACTCCCCTTACCAGGAATCTGAAGGATGGTAGGCAGAAGAGAAGATTTCATAACCAAGGAAACCTGAAAGATGGAACGAAGGCCCATAGTGATTGGGAACTGGGGCTGTACCTGCTGTGCCCCCCATGGGCTCTCCGGCCTGGTGTCTGGCTGCCCTTACATCTGGCTGGCTCTTCGTAAACCTGGAAATGTAAGCTCAAATAAATGCTGAATAACTCAAAAGTGTTTATGAGACCAGTTTTTACCTAAGCATGTTTCTGTGTCTTCCCTGTAGGCCCTAGGTTCACTGGAAAAAAGGTGAGAAGGAAATGCAACAGAGTCAGCCTCTGAAAGGTGAAATTAGTAGTTAAGTTTAAAGATTAAACCAGATACTGTTGATGTATTTGACAGATGATCAGCAGGATTCTGAATTGTAAAGGAAAAAAGTCTTTGGTGAGGTAGAAAGTACACATCTGATGTTTGGAGAGGTTATTTTTATAAACAATTTGATGCTCAAAGATCCTTGGTCCTTAACAATATTAAATGTCATTAACCAGAACTTTATGAATACCATTCCTGAATTTTTTGTTTGGATAGCCCCCTATTCCTTTTCTGGCACAGTCTGCTGTGTTACATAAATTACCATAAAGTAATTTAATTTTTTTTGGTAGTTTTATTGTAATAAAATTGAAAGTTTTCTTAAAGAGCTAGACATTTTGTTATTAAGTGTGATCTATAAGTTCTTTATGCAGAATGTTTTGAAGAATTTAGTTTAAATGCATTATTGGTATATAATAAATACCAGAATGCATTTTCTTATACCATAAGTTATATTATCTATTTTATTATTAAAGCTGTTATTCAAACCACCTGTTGACCTAGTGTATAACAAATGTAGCCAAAAAGAAAAATGGTCAGAAGATAATTAATTAATGTCCATAGATCTTAGAATTGGATATGTACTTCAAATGCCAGTCATTTTTCCGGAAAAACAAAGATTATGGTAATTGTGTATGCTAGTATATCCCATATTCATTATCACAGTCAGCTAGAGAATTACAGATTTCCAGAAGTACAGATTCCTGGAAACTACTCCTGAAGTTCTGACTCACCCAATCTCTATAAAAAACTGTCCTGGAGATTGCTGTTGTGCACTGGGTCTGAGCGTGGTACAGTCAAACTTTCCACTTTGTAGATGTGGGACAAAACGAGGTCTAGGGGGTCAGAGTAACTAGAATGTGTTCTAGCATCTTGGAGAGTGCATATTAATTGTTCTTCATTCTCTAGTAGCAAAGTGCACAGATGCTAACAATCTCACTAGTAGTAAACTTTCAAGTGTATCAAGTCCAATAGTTTAATGGATATTTTATTTATTAAAATCAGTTGTTTGAAAGAAAAATCAATGAGAAGTACAGTCTTATTTAAGCTCCCTCTCCCAAATTAAGATGTTAAAAAATATCTGCCATGTCTTTTACCCAAGCACCTTGATAGATTTGATTTGGAAGCTTAATATATTTTAATGAATCACTTGGTTAACGTATATTAATGTTTCCAAGGCTATTTGGAAAACCATAAATTTCATACTTTAATCATAGGTGTGTGTGTGTGTGTGTGTGTTCATACTTTAATCATAGGGGTGTGTGTGTGTGTGTGTATGTATTCACATATGCGAGAGTTAAATGTATATATGACTTATGTGATTTACCCAGAAGAAACATTGAGCATCTGTGTGTCAAGTATTTCGATAGATACTTTGACTTTTCACAGCAATGCCAGATTATTCTCAATTTACAGAAAAGAGGATTGAAGAGGCTGAGGTTTGAAATTTGATCTCTTGTTTGATTTTGGAACTGGGATAATTTTTGGTATCTTTTTTACTAGATCAGTATTGGATAATAAATTTAAAAATACAAAATGTAAGGCATACATTTTCATTTTAAGAGAACTGAATATGTGTGTAATGATCATTAATGGCATTTTTCAATCCATGTTGTAAATATGGTAAGATTATAGGAAACTAAATAAAGAACAATCAAGATAATTATGATGCTGATGATACTCCATAGGGTGGCCCAGCGGGGAGTAGGACTGCAGCCCCATATTGATCAGCCCCATCAATAATCTGTTTTTTAATGTTACCTGTCTTGCAGCTGCAGCTACAATATTAGTCTCCTAGTAACTGGCTCTTCTGACCAGACTGCTGTGCACAAACCTCTCCAGAAATTCCAGAACTACCCTCTGATAGTGCTGGAGACAGATCACTATTAGAGAGCCATTCCTTTAATTGGAATAAATATTCTCGGAAGGCTCAATCTATCCAATCTATTATCCACGTATTCCTAATTGCCTAAGCCAGATATTTCGAACACATTAGATTCCCTTGCCATAACAAACCAATCACAAAAATTCTGTTTACAAAATATACGTCATAGCCATCTCTGCTAATTAAAACCCTCATCTCGTATATGCTATTATGAAAGCCTCTAGTCTCCATTTCCTCTTTTACACTGTTGTAATGAGGTTTTTTGACGAAACATCACGTAGTTCCACTAGTCAAAAATCCTACTGAATCTGTACCTCATGACCCTTCGTAAGCAGATCTTTGTTCAGAGTACTCAGCTGTCAGCAGTCTTGTTCCCTTCTCCACTTCACACGGCACCTACACTGAATTACAAATATGCAGTATCTGTTGCGCCGTATCCTCAGGCCTTTACTTTCTCCATTTGTCCATCTGGAAACCCTAGTACTGATTCTTCAAGCTTAAAATCCACTCACTTCCTCACTCCTCCCAAGCAGTTGGAAGTTAAGCTGCCTAAACTGCATTTTGTGCATTCCTCCATTAGACCAAATGTTAAATCCATTCATCTCTGATTTAAACATAAAAGCATAAATATGATCATGACAAGCTGGATTCCCAAATTACCCTGCCCATAGCATATACTCAATAAGGATAATTGAAAAACTATGTAAAAGAATTGAAACTTTGAAAATTGCAACTCTTTATGGCTCATACCTAGTAATTACTTTAGCCAGAATATGATTAACCAATGTGCTCATATTTCTCACCATTTCCTGTAGCAGGGAATTGACTCACTTAGAAATGAATCACTTCTAAAAGTGAAAAATATTCTTCCACTTTGAAACAAATATATGTTATTAGCTGTGTCATGGGTATTGTTAAATTCTGGAGATGAAATATTGACTCACTACCTTTTCTTGGGCTTCCTAGACTTTGCACACTTCAAAAACAGCAAAATCTTCCAAAGAAGTAACTATATGGAAGTGAAGATGTGCATCAAATCCTTTTTTAATGTGCTGGGCAGTGTTAGACACTTTACACGCACCATCTCATTTAATCCATCTCTCCACAAAACACCAGTATCTGTTCTTTACTGCTAAGGACTCCAGCATTAGGTTAATGTGCCCAACGTTAAAATGAGATTGGTTCCTAGGTCCATATGATTATAAAGTCCACTCTGCAAATCGTTACATGTTTACTATCATTTTCTTAGAGCTAAGCTGAAATATTTTTCCAAAATAAGGATACTTCTGGAAGGGGCCTTGTAGCTTGCTGTTCAACGCTGCTGTGATCTCACTTTGTTTGAAGAATTTTATTATATTAATCTATATAAACACTCAATTATATAATATATATTTTTCACACACATATATATGAAGAAATTGTGAACATTGGAAAAGTAGGTTTATGGCTCTTACTATCTGCTTCGCTATATAGAAGGTATTATGTTAATTTTGTTCTGGGTGGCAAACACTGACCCAGGTTGGCAGACAAAATTGCAGAGAGCCAGTTTCTGGCATAAGTCTCTGATTTTCTGGCAGAACTCGTTAGCAATGTAAAAGCTGTTATTGAGAGCATATTGTGATGATGCATCATGTCAATATTTGTTTGGCTGAGTAACACTGGATTTAGTAAATTAATTCTTAAATGCACAATTTGCAACTGATGAGTTGCTTTAGAAATAAACTGATATTTATGGTCAGTACCACTAACATTCTGATGTCTTAAGTAGAGATGCTAGCTTCTTTGATTTTTTAGGTACATTTTCTAGAATAAGAAGGACCAAGCCTTTTTGAATTATCCTTCCCTGTACAAATCATGTAGGATTGAAACGTAAGAGACACTGAGGACATCAGTGAGTCATAGAGGTCTTAATGCTTTGGGTGCTTGGCCATAAATCCTCATTATCTACTAGATGATTATTACTCAACATTTTCAGTTTTGAATTAGGGTTAGAGGTGCCTAAAAAAAAAAATGTCGATTTGGAAAGTCATTTTTTGTTTTCTTGGTATGCGGGAGAGCTGCACCTGGCATTTTGAGCTTTAGACATAAAGTCTTACAGAGGAATAATCACTATTACCTTCTTTCTTCCAGCATTTGGACAGCGAATCTTGATGTTTACTATATTATCAGGCACTAGGTTGCAGCTTACATTCCTATGTAGTCCTCATCAGAAATCTATTGTCTCACAATTCTGGAGCCTAGAATCTGAACTCAAGGTGTAAGCAGGCTTCGTTCCTTCTAACTCCGAAGGAAAGATCTAGTCCGGCCCCTCTCCTGGACTTACACATGGCAGTCTTCTCCCTGTGTCTCTTCACATATTTTCCCCCCCATGTGTGTCGGTCTCTTTGTTCAAATTTTCCATTTTTTCAAGGACACCAGTCCTATTGGATTAGGACCCTCTCTAATGATGTCACCTTAATTAATTGTATCTGCAATGACCCAATTTCCAAGTAAGTCACCTTCTGAGGTACAAGAGGTTAGGATTCCAACAACTCTTTTATTTGCAGAGGGGACGCAATTCAACCTACGATAGCCCACGTCATGCTATTAATCATTGGCAGCTTTCTAGATAAGGCTCTAGGTGAAATACGTGAATTACAAAATGTATACTGGAGCAAAAGCTTTGCATGTGTGAATACAATCCACAAATCCAACCACAAATTTATGAATAAAGCTCTATCATTTTTAAAATGTCAGTTGAATGAATTGGAATAAATAGGAAAACAGAAAAGAACAATGAAATGCATCATTAGTCCCCAAACTTCATTTTAGCCAATAATACATTGCCTAGCACAGTTAAGCAGCAAATGACACTGTGTTTGTCTTTTCTTTAGGTCCCCCTCTGAGAGCAAAGAACAGACCGATACTGTAACGGGAGACCGTGGAAGGAACAAAAGTTCCAGACAGTAGTTCAGACACCTTAATGATGATTAGTCCCCAA